AACCAATCAGATCGGAGAACACAGTGACTTTTGGTTTACAATTTCTCGTGATGTTTAAGATGTTTATTTGGGTTTGGGTGCTTTCATTATGTAATTTCTCTAACAACACATTGGTCTCCATTTGTTAAACATAGGTCAATCCTCTGGCCGCGCTAAGCAAGGTACTTTATATGGGTGTACTTGTGTACACTCCTTGAGGGGGTACATATATGAAACTATCTTGAACTGATTTGAAAGTACCTTCTACGTAGATGTAGGTATGTTATGCGTAGATCGTAGACGTTTTTAAGACAGTGACACTTCCGCAGGCGTATCATGTCAACTAAGCGCTGTAACCTACCATGGTCTCTACAATATATTCTTTTATGATGTAGCATGGGGAGATTCTACTGAATGCAAGAACGCGTCTGTCATTGTAGCTCCAACACGTCATCATCTTATCATTGTCTATGTCTATGATCTTGAAACCTCGAATCGGTTGACCTGTATTGAACATCACATGCTGAAGATTTCTTTCCGTCACCAGCAACAGACCCGTCGTTATCCTCATCACGTGGACTGATACCGCCCTTCCGTACACCCTTAAACACGTGGAGGAGTCTTTGACTTCATCATTCCGTATCTCATAAAGACATACCCTCATAGTTCCAAAAGCCGCTAAGAGAAGATACATACTTCTATCACTATCAACGGCCATGGAAATAATCATTTTTCTGAAAAAGAAGAACAGAAGTGCATTATTCCTACTCTCAGCAATGTTTCATTCTTCAGCGGCTTCCATTTCAGCTGCGAACAGTCAACACATAGGGCCCGTAAGTAGGTCACGGCACTTCTCGAGACATTACGTTGTTTAGTACTTCCGGTGACAAACAACGTTTTTCAGCAATGGCGATAACACTGTTACATGGGGCATGCCATGCATAATCATACTCGACACTCGCTTGTGTGACATGTAACAGACTATAAAGGCATTAAGGCAATGTTGCATGAATAGCACGTAGATACCTGCCAAACAGATGCAGGGTTGTCACAGCGTCGTCTTTAGGGTCGCCGATTCATTAGTAAGTTATTTGTTGGATGGATTTAAAGGCTGGTATAGTTTAAGCATGGCAAGCACAATAAGGGTGGAGTTGACATGTGTGCAAGATTAGTGAATCGTTTGATTGTATTTGATATCTTACACTGGGATTTTATTGTCCCTCCGAGAGGGTATGTAAGACCACGTCTTTCAAAGCATGTTTAATCTCACCACATTTTTAATCATAGTATATGTTCGTATAAATTAATGGCTAACTTTGTCTAAACTGTCAACAGCTGAGGGGATGATGTAAATCCAGCGCTAGGGTCCATGCGGGTAGCAAAAGTACTGTAAGTTCCCGTCCCCTTCTACCTTCAAATTTTTGGCAACCTATAGCCCATTTTTATATTGTATTGTTATATTTAATAACATCGTTTTATGACAGCCGGCTAATTTTACTTTAATACATGTGATATAAAATGAGTTTTTTTACTGTTCTTCTACAACAGACTTTTTTTCTCTAATTGTATTGATCTATAATAATAAATTGTTCTCGTCATGATATAGCTGAAATATTGCCAAAGCGACGATAAATATTAACTCACCTACTCACTACAGTTGGATTTTGCAGCTATTACATTTATTATCACTTACGTCATTCATCATGGCAAATATCAATTAAGTTTATCCATAACAATGTAAAGTTATTTTGGAACCTCACAAAATTATCATTTTGGGGTTAATATTTGTAAAGGTGTGCCTAAAACATTTTATCGGATACTGTGTTAATAAATAAAGTATCGTGCAGTTGGAATTATCCAGAAATTCCAGGTGTAATTCTAAAAAAACGAATGTAATGAATTAAATAATAATTTAATAGCGCGTAAACAATGATGATTATATCCACACTTTGATCGATGCCATTACCTCTGAATGGATGTCTCTCACAAATGTATTATGTAATATTAGCTTGATTAATTATAAACCCATTTAGCATTTGTTTATGGTGCAGCATGTTCAGGTAAACATAACACCCACATGCAATAATATCTTGATGTCAACATTGTAAGGAACTGTTTACATTTTCTACGTACTTTCTATCATACTTGGTATCACATGTGTTGTGTAATTTTTCAGTTGGAACAGATGCACATCTTTGAGAGGAGAAAGAAGGAGGAATAGATTTCTTTATTACCACAATTACTATTGACATCAAGAGCAACACAAACTGAAACAGATCTTCAGATTTCTTTGAACATCTGGTGGTTCAAGCAAAACACTGCCAAAGAAGAAACAGCAAGTCATTGAAGTGTTGTATATACAGTTATAAAAATATTAAAGCCCTACACATCATCCTTTGGACACTTGCTTGAACAGGAAATGCTTGTCACCAGCAAGGTGTTGTGGAACATCTTGTGACATCTTGGGACTCTCAGATAATACAGTGAGAATTCAGATGAGTTACCATGCAAATATTCCAGTTCATACTGTTACAGTATTTTTTCAGGTTTAACATCTGTTAAATGCAAAGAATGTTTGATATGTTATGAGTGATTATGTCTTTGGAATAAAATAGCTCTAAAACTTGTTTATTGTTTTTTTAAGTGTGGATAAAGCAAGCACAAATTGAATGGTTTGGAAGATTTCTGCTTTTAGCCGTGATATTGATTTGACATTAAATATATAACGATAAATGTGTAGGATTAGATTTTCAGTGAATATAGCAAAAGTTTCCAAGTGAGAGAAATGGATTTCATGCCGCTTTAAGCAATATTCCAGCAACATCATGCTGGGAAGAGCAGAACTGGGCTTCACACTTTGCACCCATGTGGGGAATTGAACCCAGGCCTTCAGGTTGACAAGTGTCAACAGTATAACCACTAGGTTACCCTACTACCCCAGTTTCCATGAAAAAACATGCTTACCAAGGAAAATTAAACTTAATCAATGGCATAGGCATGTATTTCTACATGACATAGAATTTTTGTTGAAATTTGAAATTCTTTGTTTTTATTTGCTGTAAGATTACAACACTGGTTCATAGCACAATAACCAGTACACATTATTCCTCTCCGTTATTTTAAACCATATTGGTCTAGCTGTATAGTGGCAAATATGGAATGCCAGTTACCAACCTTTGCCTTATTGGCAGAATATTTGGAATATATATTTACGAAAAATAGGTGAAAAAACTATATTTCATGACAAGTAATCATACCCATGCTGCTATCAGCCAGTGTCTGCAGTATCTACAGTAATGCCATAGTATATATGCACATTTAGTTTCCCCCATGTATTGATCAGTATATTTTACAATACAACAAATGTCTTTGAGTGATTACTCCATATTTGAGTATATTTGGTCTTGCATTTTTCCCAATTGTGACTTGAAGGTGCTGTGTGCTGCTTCATATTTTGCTTACAGCATAGCAGAACCTCACCCCTGCATAACCAAGAAGTAAGTAACACGCATGAGCTGTAGATCATGGTACATAGTGTAATTAATATTGTCCAACAAGCAGCTTTTTTTACATATCACCCCACTAAAATTATGTTTACTTAATTTGATAAATAATTGTTTCATGATGAATATTCTTATGGCTGAAGGTTTTCACATTTTTGTTTTGAATATCTGACAGTAGTAACCGAAATAATTGTAACCATGCCATCAAGGTTTTTTTGTCGAGCTGTTGATTGGTTTGTGACACTATGACTTCCTGTGTGATTAAAAACGTCACCATAAATGGGAAAGTTCATATATTGATTTTTTTATTTATAATGTTACGAGAACTGCTATTTATTCAATATATCATTATTTTATCTGTTTACAGCATGGCAAAGAAACACTTTGACATATGCAGATCCCTATCATCTATCCAAAGTAAAATTTATAATGCATTTTATTTCACATTTGCAAAGCAACAAACAACATATTTCTTGTATCTTTGAGTCATTCTGTCACCTGAACTTGCATACAGCCATCCCTTAGACTTGGGAAGAGAGTAAAATTATATGTTAAGCCTACCAACTATATAGTTTACAAAGTATTTATATTAGTACCTCAAGTATTTATACACATGCATTTTACATTGCATAAAGTCAATTGTCCCCATTGATTATATCTATTAAATAATTCCTAACAAATATAAATATTGATATGTAAAAAATGTTTATATTTAAATTTGGAATAGTTACTGAAAATATTGCTGCAGCATAACAAATGTATTTAGAAAATAAATAATAAATTAAACAAACAAAAATATTCTAATTTTGAAATTACATACTTTAATTGAAAATAGAAATAACAGAGTCAATGTGGCCAAATAAACAGAGCATCAACTTGATCAAGTTGGTTTCACATGACCATTTCATGAATAGCAGGATATTAATTAACAGTTTTATTAATTCAGTAAATACATTTTACTCAAATGCATTTTACGTTAACCATGTCACTGATTCCCGAAATATATTTTCTGACAAACACTGTCCGCGATACTGAAAAGAAACACGTTTAGCGATAGAACTGCACTGTCAAAAATATATTATAGCTAAATAAAGGTACTCATATGTTTTCGAATTGACTCATGGTTGTCGGTTGTCAGTAAGGAACCGATAATCCTTGAAGGAAAAATACTTTTTCGATCTTATCGTCCCCAAATGATCCATTTATTACGACTGTCACCAGCTGTGACAGCCAAGTATGGTAGTACACTTGGTCCGGTCTAGTGAGGTCATATTTGGCGATCGCGCAATTTGGCACCAGAACTGGTTCTTGAGTATTCGCTTGTCACTGGAAATCTAGCAGCGGAAGTAGCGCCTCGCGAGATTTACGGGCCCTATTGTTACGCTAGTAGAACTCCGATTTGTATGAAATTTGCATGACGTCACAGTTTGATGTTAGGATTTCATAATGCGCATGCGCTTCGCTTCACCAAAACACGTGGTGTATCGAACCCGTGAACCATCCATTACAAGGCTCACGATGAAAGGCACCCAACAGTTGCTTAGAAGAGACAAGGGTGTTGGACAGAAACTCAGTGTCAATGTACGGCTGGAAGGTACATGAATGAGTCTCGACGAAAGAAAGTGCTGATTCTGTCACAGACTCTCTTCAAGGCTATACATCGCGTTTAATTAGATTGTGTTGAGAATACGAGGATCTCAAGGAGTCGTTAACTTAGTTGAAATTGGCTAGACTGAAAAGTGAAAGAGAAGGATTTTTGTTCGCTGAACCGGAGCAGACACTCCCAAGTCAAAATGTCACTGTATATATGTAGATTATGTAATGAATTAAATGAGACTGTGAGTTACCAAGCGACATGATGGTTTTGCTATGCTCGTGGTCGTTTATAGCCTAAGGCCTATCCGAGCCTCCAGACCTGAACTTGTCATCTACGATCTGCTGAAACAAAGGAAATTCCGAAATACTCGTTTATGAAAGGTCACACTTGCATTCTAAGATCAAACCGTCGAACTCCCTATCGTCCTTTGAGCCTTAGATTTGGTTCCTCCCAATCTCGTGACTGACGCTTCGAGAGTACCCGGATTTGCTGTCAGGAACGCAGCCTTTGTCACACTCCGTGTAATTCAGCAGTCGGTACAGTTTAGGGGTATACCAGACGGATTTGGCTGTCAACGTTGCGTGAAAAGGGGGCAAGGGCCTGAGCTTATAATGAGCCAAACAAAGCAGATTTGGCCAGGATCAACCGAATCCTCTTATCTACATTCGTATATATTGATCTGCCAATAATGTAATAATAATGCTCCTGACTATGATAACGGAAGCTATTGCTTAAAGTATCTTCGTACGCTCCGTAAATCTAGGCATGGTACACACGACGCGTGACTGAGATACACAATGTATGTTGGAGACAGTTTGTTTGGAACTTAAATGTTTACCTTTTGTGCTCGTTAAGCTTGCGTAAGCTGGGTCTCAGTTTGTTGATGTTTCGACCTCGTGGTTCTGGAAAGGATAGCAGGTATCTGATGTTTCTTACGGCTCGGTTCTGTGTGTATTTAAATCTGACAATGCTGTACACACATCCATGTGTGTTCCCTGTGCACAAGCCGGAACAGAGGCTGATGACTTCAGCTCTGTCATATTTGAGCGCTTCCAACTGTAGATGCCTTGATATGCCATTTGGCGTAAACATAACAACTTTGATTCGAGGCTGGACGTTTTCAAGAAGGTAAAATTTGTCGACAGTCCAACTCTTAGTTAGAAACCTATTAGCGAAAAGCTTTAATGATGCCTTCGGTCTTCTTGGTTGTTTGAATCTAACTCTGGTATCTGAAAGCAGGCAATAATTGATCATATTTAAGATACATTGTCATAACAGGCATTGTTTTCATTTTAATTCCAACTACCGTATTCTAATAGCCTGTGCTTGTGAACCAAAATCTCTCTACTTTTGTCGGTGTGAATCTACGTCTATCAACCTTACTCAGAACCTACGTGTATCACCCTTACTCAGAACGTACGTCTATCAACCTTACTCAGAACGTACGTCTATCGACCTTACTCAGAACCTACGTCTATCAACCTTACTCAGAACCTTTGTCTATCAACCTTACTCAGAACCTACGTCTATCAACCTTACTCAGAACCTACGTCTATCAACCTTACTCAGAACCTACGTCTATCAACCTTACTCAGAACCTACGTCTATCGACCTTACTCAGAACCTACGTCTATCAACCTTAGTCAGAACCTACGTCTATCAACCTTACTCAGAACCTACGTCTATCAACCTTGCTCAGAACCCACGTCTATCGACCTTACTCAGAACCTACGTAAATTAACGCCCAAAAGAAGCTTGGCAGCCGTTTTGAAGCTCGATAGTGAACAAAAAGCAGCAAAACATACATAGCAAACATCAATTTGTTCTGAAACATTGTGCAGACAGTCGAAGCAATATAATGACCAGTCAATTAAATATGTCTGGTAATGTCGATGTGTGTTACACAAAACAGTTGTTCAATACATGTCCAAATGGTCAGCTCGGCACAACATGACCACGGGTGGTATTATGTGTCACCCTGGTAGCGTGTGTGACCTCCATTGGCTTAATGCAGGCAAACACTTTCTCACTCACTTCATTCGTCAGTCGCCTGGTACCGTCACATTGGGTGCGTCGCCATTCTTCGTGGAGGACCAAAATGTGCTCATGCCGAGTGTTAGGAGGTAGTTGTCGCTGTTGAATTCGTCTTTCCATGGTATCCCAACAATACTCTGTGGGATTAACGTCTGTAGAGCGGGATGGCCAGGCTAACATGGTGTTCTTTATGTTTCTGAAGTTTTGCACGACGCTAACAGTATGAGGTCTGGCATCGTAGTGTTGGAACATGATACCCTGTGGCTGTTAACGAAGGAATAGAAGCACGACAGGGCGTAGGGCCTCATCTCTATAGCGTGCAGCATTCACGTTACTATCAATGATGACCAATGGCGTCTTCTCGTCACCACAAACCCATACCATGGCCTTCCTATCTCAAAAGGGTATGATATCTTGAACGCAACAACGGACAGAACGTTTCACACTACGACAATAAACAGGCTGTCTGATATCAGAATGGAACAGAACCTGCTCTCGTCGGTGCTGAGGACGCGCTGTCAATTATGAAGTTGCAAAGATGGACTGTACTTGTCCATCACAATCTTCGACGACAGTCTTTAACAACGGGCTTTAGTAGGGTCTGTAGGCTGTAATACCGACTGGTCTCGCTACTGTCTGTCTGCTGACCACACGACCCAAACATTCGACGCCGATCACGTCACAGGCAAGAATCTGTTACGCAGAAGCAAGGTACCAAGGCAGCGATCTTCAAGGGGATTGGTCACCCTTTGCCTGCCTGTTCTTAGTCTGTCTGTTGTCGGATCTGTTATTCCGAATAACTGGACCAGGTTACATACGGTATGCCGGAACCAGTTCAATGTTCTTGCAACATGGGTCTGTGGTGCTCCCAGTTGCAACATTCCTCCCACGTGTCAGTATACAAATTGTACCTGTGTCTCTGTCTACACGTGTCTGGTGTCTCTCCCCAGTATGTATCAGTATATGTGTCGAGTATACATATGTCTCCACGTGTCAGTACACCTCTGTCTACACGTGTCAGTATACCTATGTCTGTCTGTCTGTCTACACGTGTCAGTACATCTGTGTCTGTGTGTCACGTGCCATTGTACTTGCCTGTGCCTGTATGGTTGGTGGAAACATAAATCTGTGTTCATGTTCCTAGTATTGAGTGAGTTTGCACTTGTGTCTCTGTCATGGTGTTTCCAATTTGTGTCTCTTTCCTATGTATCTTATTGACATGTATCAGTGTACCTGATTGCACCTGTATCAGAGTACCTGATTGCACCTGTATCAGTGTACCTGATTGCACCTGTATCAGAGTACCTGATTGCACCTGTATCAGAGTACCTGATTGCACCTGTATGAGTGTACCTTATTGCACCTGTATCAGAGTACTTGATTGCACTTGTATCAGAGTACCTGATTGCACCTGCATCAGTCTACCTGACTGCACCTTTTCCAGAGTACCTGATTGCACCTGTATCAGGTTACCTGATTGCACCTGTATCAGTGTACCTGATTGCACCTGTAGCAGTGTACCTGATTGCACCTGTATCTGTGTACCTGATTGCACCTGTATCAGTGTACCTGATTGCACCTGTATCAGTGTACCTGATTGCACCTGTGTCAGAGTACCTGATTGCACCTGTATCAGTGTACCTGATTGCACCTGTATCAGTGTACCTGATTGCACCTGTATCAATGTACCTGATTGCACCTGTATCAGTGTACCTGATTGCACCTGTATCAGTGTACCTGATTGCACCTGTATCAGTGTACCTGATTGCACCTGTGTCAGTGTACCTGATTGCACCTGTGTCAGTGTACCTGATTGCACCTGTATCTGATTGCACCTGTATCAGTGTACCTGATTGCACCTGTATCAGTGTACCTGATTGCACCTGTATCAGTGTACCTGATTGCACCTGTATCAGTGTACCTGATTGCACCTGTATCAGTGTACCTGATTCCACCTGTATCAGTGTACCTGATCGCACCTGTATCAGTGTACCTGATTTGTGTACCTGATTGCACCTGTATCAGTGTACCTGATTGCACCTGTATCAGTGTACCTGATTGCACCTGTATCTGTGTACCTGATTGCACCTGTGTCAGTGTACCTGATTGCACCTGTGTCAGTGTACCTGATTGCACCTGTATCAGTGTACCTGATTGCACCTCAATGTTTGACCTTTGCTCTTGTTGATTTCTGCGTATTTACAAAATAGTGAGTGATTGAGTTAATATTTAACGTCACATCGGTAATATTTTAGCCATATTGTGACGAGAACATACTTGACATTATAAAAACCCGTCGTCAAAGGACAGTAAAACAACTAGAATATCACAATTAGAATTAAAACTAGTATGGGAAGTTTAAACTAATAGCATTATTTGGACAATACATTATGACAACAGGCTATAGATCGCCAACAACAGAACGTAGATCACCATACTAGGGACCATGGTTTGCAAAATAGACTGCCTCACAGATATGTATATGATGATTATTGTCGCAACTCTCACCTACTGTTAACGCGATTGTTAAGAATATATTTAAGATATACAGGTAGCGTGGTTTGAATACTTTGGAAGCAATATTACGTTATTCATCTGACCCTTTTTGTCAATATCACCATGTACAAGCGAGAGATAGTGGCTGAGAAATGTAGCACGAGCAAGCAATACCTACAAGAAACGCATACTGGACCTCTCCGTTTTGTCCTGAGACATCTGTCAGACCTTCCGCATCCTCTCGTCGGACAAGGCATCTGAATAAATGTAAATGGTGTTAAATATGACATTTGAAATGGGTGAGTGAGTATGGTTTCACGCCGCTTTTAGCAATATTCCAGCAATATGTCGGCGGCTTACACCAGAAAAGGGTTCACACATTGTCCCCGGGTCTTCGGCGAGACAAGCTAACGAATGAGGGAAATGACTCATTTAGGTGGCTCTATACAAACCCATTAACAGACATG